GACCGGGCAGTGTTTCGTTCTGTTGTACATTGGGTGGCTATGAGTCAGAATTGATTCAATGGCACACAAAAACAACAATATATTAGTTCAATGAAAAGTCAAACACATAAAAACTCACCAGTAAGAATTTCTTTCCTGACTTTGAAAGTGTCCACAACAGGTGTGATGATCCCTTCGATGGTTCCAAACATGCTGCCAAGCCCTAGATTTACCAGCATGAGGAAGAACATCACTGACCAGAAGGGAGATGCAGGGAAATGTGTCATTGCTTCTGTAAAGGCAATAAAAGCTAAGCCAGTCCCCTGAACAGCCTGTAAAATATACCAAAATAGTAACTTAATAGAGTAAAAAGCAATATGACTCTATACATCAGTCACAAACGGGAGGGACAGTTGGCATCTCTAAATAATAACCAGGGGTTACTGGAAATAATATGGTGATTATGTGGACATCAGCATTTTACCTGTTAGATCACTTTCTCATTCTTGAAACCCAGATTTAATTCAGTCAAATAGACACAAACAATGAAATTCTGTTTAGAATTACCAGAGTACACAATTATACTAAATATATTCAATTGAACACTGGAATATTATTATATTAAAGTATGTACAGTGTTTTTTCTTCTAATAAAGATATGAATAGTGATTTATTACTATGTGTGTGTGTGTGTGTGTGTGTGTGTATATATATATATACATATATATATATATATATACACACACAACTGTTTCTCACCCGTATATAAGACAGAAAGTATTTGGTTTTAGGTTAACTTCAAAATGGTTTAATCAATTAGTATAAAGAAAATATAGACTGTGAATAACAAGCTTGCTCTAATTTAACATAAACATGTGAATGCTAAATAAAAGTGAATAGAATAACTAGATAATTTAAAAAGTCAACTATTTTTAATCTTAAAGAAAAACTAACGTCTTCATCTTTTCTACCCGATATTCCTACCTCCCTGCTAAAGTCTGAGTTTTTACAATTTAGGGGACACAGTGAATTTCCAGCCAAAATCAATAATAAAATGGATAAAAAGACCAATACTCCAATCAGGGAGAACATAGTGGAACTCCTAGTAAAAATTAACATAAGTTTATTTTTTATGACATCTCCTAAGAAATTGTACCTCTAACCCAACTTCAAGTTGCTTGTGTTATCTCATAAAGACAACGGATATACCAGAATTAAAAATATATATATTGAAGGGTACGTTAGTAATTATTTCTTTTCTTAAAAAACTCAGGTTTTTATATTAATGATGGCTTCACCCATAATTTCCTGTACATGATTCTGTATATTTACGCTCGATTATAGTTAGCTATCTTAAAGCAAGTGATTAATGGCCAATTTCTCTATTCTATTTTCCTTTTGACAATAGAGAGAGAATGATAGCCAATACAAGCATTTATTAATGTTCACCATTTCTTATTTATTAAAATGTATATGAGAGTGGCTAAGAACAATGAATTAATCATAGCTTTTGAATCTACTTTTAAAAGGGTCATTTCAAACATCGTTTATGCCTCTAAACATACAAATATTGTTTATGCCTCTAAACATACAAAATATAAATGATGTTCACAACACAAATTTCGTATTAAAATATTATACTGAGAAAAATATCAGACTAATCTTTTTCTTTGATGAAAATTATGTACTTCATATTCATATTTTAAATTATCATGGTTCAATCAATAAAACTCTTTTTTTAAAATAAAGTAAACCTTTATGATTCAAGAAAGCATGTTCTCTGAAATAGAGAATGTGAATTTAATGCAGCATAATCTTCCACAGGCATTTTAAGGCCATTTTCCTGAAAGAAGACCTCTGGATAATGCATATATTGATTGTATGATAATTACTTTATTGATTAAACATGGCCTACTAACTTTATTTAGCTCATCTTCAATGTGACAGGAATTGAGATGAAGAGCAGGAAACTCTTCTTCTTTCACTTTTTGAATGATGTCATAAACTAAATGATAATCCTCTGCAGTAACAGCTGAAAAGTTGATATGATGAGGAATAATATCCTGACTAATGTTGCCCATTTTCAAAAATTTCATGATCACCTCCGAATTTCTGAAAAATAGAACATATTAATGAACACTTAGGGTTATTTCGTGTTATGTTTTGTACACAATTATGCTGTCAAAAGTTAAAGGAAATTAATATCCATACTGTGCAATGCATTTCTCATTTATGACATTTGCTTTGAAGCCCAGAACTGCAAACACCACCAATGTTGCCAGGACAGAAGTGAAAAAATTGATGAAGGACACCAAGACAGCATCAAAGTGGCAGTTGTTGTCTCTCTTGTTGTAGCTTGAAAAGGCAATTACGCCACCAAATCCCAGACCTAATGCAAAGAACACCTGAGTAGCAGCTTCTCTCCAGACCTTGGGCTCCAGCATTATTTCCAGCTGTTTAAAATTAAACATAATAGAAGTCAGCTGCAAAATATTTCAAAATAATTCATCTACATGGAATTAGTTCTGTTTTAAATATATTACAATATTTATGCAACCAGAGGTTATTTAAATCTAGGAGATAATCTGCTCTTAAACAGAAAAAAAAAACTTTTTTATTTAGGGAAAATGAGAACTATGAATATGAGAAAGACTATCAAATCCCTTAAATGGAGATTTTACTTATATGAACATTATCTACTTAATATGGGAATTTTAAAATATTTTTAAGACAAATCGTCAAAGGATTATATGAAAGAGAAAACTGACTTCAATTTCTCATCCTACTTTTTTCTTTCCAAGTCAAAATAAAGCAATGAACAATGAAAGTTAAATAATTACTCTAAGTTTTGTGTTTTCTAGTGGAAATCTAATAGTCAAAGCAGATAACAATTTAAATTTGGCCCAGAAGAACTATTCATACTTTGCATATTCACTTATATATTACTCATTCATTCAAAGGTTTCCTGAAAGCCTTTATTTCGAAAATCGAAGCAATTCAACTATATCATCTCTATGATTTGCTTTCAGATCCAAAATTCTAATGTTCTGGTCTGTACTGAACATATTATTTTCAAACAACACTGCTTTACTTCTCAGGTAACTATCACTGTATAGAATCAGACCCTTGAAATGGAGCAATTAATATAAGCCATATCTGACATATACCCCAATAAACTTTTAAGTTTGATTTCAGTAATAGTATTGTTTAAATTGTTGTTTTATCTCCTTCTTACTATTGCACTGAAATTCCCTTTATTGGAAGCAATGCTGAAAGCGGTTAAGAACATGAGTTCAACAGTTTCCGATCCTGATTCTGCTCTTTAATAATTTAATAGTAGTAAAACTTGGTGCAAGTGGTCTGTCCTCTCTGAGCTTCAGTTTTCTCCACTGAAATATAGGAATAACAAGACACGTACATCTATTCATGGTGCCTACCACATTGCAAGTGCCCAAGAATGCTAACATATATGGACTATACGTAGAGGGTCCGTGAGAAAGAGGAAGACCCTCATCAAGATGGATTGACACAGTGGCTGCAACAATGGACTCAAGAATAACAATGATTGTGAGGATGGTGCAGGTCTGGGCAGTGTTTTGTTCTGTTACACAAAGGGTTGTTATGAGTTGGAACCTACTCCAGGGCACCTAACAACAATAACACAGGAACTATAGTGGCAGACACATTGTAAGCACTTTATATGGATTATTTCATTTAATCCTCACAACAAATTACTACTACTACTATTGTTACTACTACTATCTGAGTCATAGAAATGTTAAGTAACCTGCCTGAGGTCACACAGCAAGTCTAGGGTGGAGATGAGATATGAATATAGGTAGATTCTAAAATCCACGCTCTCTCAATTCTTAGGATTTACTGCTTCAGTTTTAGTCATTACTGATGACATGTATGAAATATGCTCAACAAATGTAATGACTCTCTTTATTAATATATGAAAATTAACTAAGATGTGCATATTGCTCATTAAGCATTGCTACATTACCATTTTATGTTAATACTGATCTAATAAAGTACACTCAACTGTATATCTCCACTTTATCCACTAGATGGCAGAAAAGATCTAGTTACTAAAGACTTTTTTCCGGATTACTTCCAATTTCTGAATTTATTTTCCATTCACTTTTCCCCTAGTATTTCATGAGCTTGGAGTCCTGGTGCCCCTGCGGTTGGTTAAGAGCTCGGGTGCTAACCAAAAGGTCATAGTTTGAATCCACCAGCCGTTCCTTGGAAATCCTATGGGGCAGTTCGATCTGTCCTATAATGTCACCTTGAGTTGGAATCGACTTGATGGCAATGGGTTTATTTCATGTACTTAAGTACTTTCTCCCTATGCAAACAATGTAAATTAAATAGCAATTGACAAGTCTTTATCATCATTACATTAAATACTACATCCTACAGTGACCTAATAGAGTATTTTTATCAAGTCAATGAAAAGTGAGTTGAAGGAAAAATTAACTACATTTTAACAGTGATCCCTAGTCCTGGTTAAAAATGGTAGTATAATATATGCTGCAGTTTTAAAGACTGGAGCTATGTAAATATCAGTGTTTAAATTTAGATAAAATCTAAAATATCTAATGAAATAAAATGTTTAGAATTATGTCACAAGCAATGGACAATTTAGAAAAAGGTAATATTCCAGAAATTCACATAGAAATTAGATATTTTTAACTCAAGAAACATTTTTTTTCAGTATTATACATGTAAATAATTTTTGGTCTTAGCTATGACCCACTTGAAACCAATTTAACCAATAAGTTAGCTGAAATTTACATATCCTCACTAGTTACTCACTGAGGAGAAATTCCAACAACTTTAAATGTTAAACAGGACAAAGAACGCAGCTTCCTTTACACACATCAAGGCAGTTACTTGGAATGACAAAGAATCCCTGGGGAGCTAATCCTTTCTTTCCAAATCTCACAGCAGGATGCTGACACCCCATTCATCCTTTAGAATACTTCCATACTTCCAACTTCTGAACCAATTTGAAACTGTCTCTTTATAATTCATTGTGTGCCTATGATAAAAAAAAAACAAATCCAAACCCATTGCTGCTGGGTCGATTCTGACTCATAGCAACCCTATAAGACAGAGTAGAACTGCCCCCTCGTAGGGTTTCCAAGGACCGGCTGGTGGATTCAAACTGCTGACCTTCTGTTTAGCAGCCATAGCTCTTAACCACTATTCAACCAGGGCTCCATGTCTATGATAGTGTAAGCAAATTAAAAGTGAGGTACAACTTCCTGTCATATCACTATAGCAAGTCCACAAGTATTGATTAATCAGGTTCTATGTGCCCAGGGTTGTGTTCAGTTCTAGTAAGTCGAATGACAGAGTACAAGTTCTGTGCCCTTTATGCAGCCTAATGAGAATTTTCCTTAAATGTATATGCATTTATAAATGATACAGAACATCTCAAAATGACCACTATAAATATTATTCTAGAAGGTACTAAATCTCAAAACAAAACAAGAAAACACGGATTTTTCCTGAGACAGCATTTCAGAATACATTAGGTTTCTTAACCTGAAGTATATGGGCTTTAGGGGATCAATCAACCTCCTAAGATTCTAAGCAAATGAATATGTTCATTTCTTTTATCTGGTAAGAAGATCCACAGCTATTATCAGTCTCTCAAAGGGGTACATGACACAAACAGGTTAAGAACCACTGAAATAGAGGGAGAAGAATAACTGAAGCTTGAAAAGTTCTAAAATTTATCACTGAAGTTAATTTATTATAAAAGAGGGATTTTTGAAGTTGCAATACCTATAGTCTTAATCTAGGACCAAAATGGGACATTTAAAGTTAAAGGTAGACAGATACAGATATTTAAAAGAGCTGGTTTTTCTAAGACGGTTAACACACCTATAATTTAAAGGTCTAATTTATATATGTTAGAACCATTATCGCTTAAATCTGACTGTGGAAATATTTTAATAATAAGCACAATACTTTCATGATCATAATTGTTAAATAAAAATGTAATACACACCTTAGGGGTAAACATGTGGCGGATGCCATCAATGGAACCATTTAAAAGGAGTGCTCTGATTAGGAAGCATATAAGTACCACATATGGGAAAAGAGAACTAAAATACATGATCTGAAAAGAAACAGAATAAAAAACAGGTGAGTCACATCAATTATACTCCTTTTCTATAATTAAGATTATATGCATTCTGTTCTATACTTTGACGTCATTTGTATAATGCTATTAATAATACCTAAGGCCATTATATTAGAGTGGCTTATTAGTGTTGATTCAGTGTGCTTATTTAGGATCCTTAATCTCCTTTAAAATAGTTTGTAGGTATAGTTTAATTTGAATAGTGTTGATTCCTTATAGTCATAAAACAAGCATTATTTAAGACAGAAACAGACACTAACACCCTATCAAGTCCCTGCTTTTATTGTTTTAGGTAGAAAAAAAAAAATCTTTCGTTTTCTTTTAAGCAAAGTTCCATTATTACATTGTAAAAGTCCTAAAAAATGAAGTGGTCCCTATGTTGTCTCTTACAGAAACTAACAATTGTCATGTAAAAATTTTACTTTCTGCTTCAGCAGTTTTCCCTATTAAACAGTTGAGCAAATACTTATCCTAGGAAAGAAATTATCCTACCCAGAATTGCTGCTTCCCTGACATCTCCATGTGGAGGCCTAATTGGTGTCTCAAACTTTTCAGGTCCAGAAAAGAACAGTCACCTCCCAAAGCTGTTTCCACTCATCTCCATTTCAGTAAATGGCACCAACATCCATCCAGTTGCTATAGTAAACATCTAGGAGAAGTTCTGAACTATTTGTAATCATCTACTAACTGGTTACCCTATTGCCACTTGGGTTATGTCATTCTCTACTTAAAACACTCAAGGGATTTTGAATATATTTGGAATAAAATGCAATCTTTCCTCTGGCCTGCAAAGCCTTACAGTCCCTGCCTTCCTGCCCCACTACGCTCCTCATTCTGAGCTCTGGCCCCGCAGGCCCTGGCTGTGTCAGGAATAAACCAAGCTTGTCCTGCCTCAGGGCCAGAGTATGGGCTGTACCCTCTGAAGCACTACTCTCCTTCAGTTCCACAGGACTAGCTCCTCCTTGTTACTTAAGTCTCATCTTCATCTTCTCCCCAAGGTCTTCTCTAAACACTGAATCTCAGGTCGTAACTGTTTTTTAATCCAGTATCACCCACATGACCTCCCCTCAGCCCCTACTAACCTTTAATGATATGACCTTGTTTTGTTTTCTTTACAGTGCTTAAGCCAGTTGCCGTCAACTGAATTCACAGCGACCCCACGTGTATCAGAGCAGAACTGAGCTCCATAAGATTTTCAATGGCTAATTTTTTCTGAAAGGAGCCCTCGTGGCACAGTGCTTAAAATGATCGACTGCTAACCAAAAGGTTGGTGCTTTGAAACCTCCAATGTCTCTGGGGCAGAAAGATATGGCAATCTGCTTCTATAAAGATTTATAGCCTTGGAAGTCCTATGAGGTTGCTATAAGTCGGAATAGACTCAACGGCAGTGGCTTTTTTGGTTTAATTTTTCTGAAAGGAGTCCCGGTGGCACAGTGATAAAGCACTTGGCTGCTCACCAAAAGATCAGCAGTTCAAACCAACCAGCCACTCCAAGGAATAAAGATGTGGCTGTCTGCTTCTGTAAAGTTTATTGCCTTAGAAACCCTATGGGGCAGTTCTACTCTGTCCTACAGGGCAGCTATGACTTGGAATCAACTTGACGGCAATGGGTAATTTTTCTGAAAGTAGACTGCCAGGACTTTCTTCCAAGACACCTCTGGGTGGACTCAAACCACCAACCTTTCAGTTAGCAGTCAAGCATGTTAACCATTTGCACCACCCAAAAAAAAAAAAAAAAACCTGTGAACATCAAGTCGATTCCAACTCATAACAGCCCTATAGGACAGAGTAGAACTGCCCCCTAGGGTTTCCAAGGAATGGCTGGTGGATTCAAACTGTCGACTTTTTGGTTAGCAGCCAAGCTCTTAGGGACCCCAAAAAGTTGAAGCCAACTCAAGGGCAACTACTTCTTACAGTGCTTAGGTCTGTTTTAATGATCTTGTTATGTGTTCACTTATTTATTTTCAGTCTCCTCAACTGGGATATAAGCTCTGTGAGGGCAAAGGCCTTCCTTTTCACTACTATACCCCAAACAACACAGTTGCTGGTACATAGTAGGTATATAACATGAAACTGTAGAGCGGATGGAGGAAGGGTGGGAAGAATAAAGGAAAAATATGTGTGTATAGTAGAGGATGGTTCAAAACAGCAAGAAACTGACTCCAATAAAAACTATAGATAAAGGCAACACGACACATAAGGTAATACAATAGTTTCCATTCCCTCTAGTTCCACCCACATTATAGTCATATTTAAATATATGTGGAACACTCTAAGAAAAATCAATATTATGGATAAAATCTCAACGTACTTAGGATTAATAAAAATAATTATATTTTAATTAGTCATAATGAAAGATAATTTTTCAATCATTTTTCAATCGCATTAATCATATCCCTTTACCCATGTATCTTGATTTCTTTTTATCCAAATGCTTTTACATGGAGTCCTTTTTTTTTTTTTTTAATTCTTCCTGCCTACTTTTAGCATTCTTTATATTTGTCAGTTTACTACATATCTACCCAAGTGGCCTTGATCTCACTGAATTAAAACTGTAACTATTATGATTCCAGTTCAAAATTTATTGAGGCTAGCCAGACACACAGATTAACTTTTGCATAATAGGTCATCTTTTTATTTTTTTAAAAGAACTCAAGTTTGCAGCATTCTAAGTGGCTTAAATGATGTCCACTAATCTCACTTATTTTAAAAGTAAAAATGTAGGTTCTAAATTAACTAGTCTGGATAGGTTGATTATGATTTTTTCCCAGTAAATATGGCATATGAACAGGATATTTCATAATACAATTTCAAGGTAAAGACTAAGGAAAGAAAAGATTCATCCTGTGCTTGCATCTCCCTAGGCTAGACAACTCTAACACATCTTTAACATTCACTCTTCCACATATCCCATAACCAAATGATCACTCAGTTCAATTGATTCTACAACAAAAATCTCATATCTGTCCCTTCATTTCTATCCTCAGTGACATATCACCCTTCACTATTATAATAGCTTCCTGTTCATCTTGCCTTGATTCTCTGTGCCAGCTTTCCTCTTCATCCCTGAAATCCAACACCCATACTATGTCCAGAATGATCTTTCTAAAGATCTGATGGTATCACTGAGCTGCTAAAAATTCTCAAATGTTCCAAACTGTTTGCTAGATAATGGCCAATCATTTTAGAAGTGTCTATAAAATCCTTCAATATCTGCAATCAACTTACATGTCAAGCTTTATCTCCCACAAGCTGCACAAATTGTATGAGAAAGTCACCCAGGAGAACTCAGGAATCTTTGGGTTTTGCACACGCTATTCTCCCACATATAATTTGCTCTCTATGAACTTTCTGATGAACTCTTCTTCAACCATCAAACCCTAAGCCAAATATTACCTTCTTTGTGAAGCCTTCCACACAAATTCAGGTTAATTCCAATGACTGCCTTTATGCTCTCAAGTACTTTCTATATGCCTCTTATTACACTTATTATGCCGTAATTATCTGTCTTATTCATTAAATTATAGGTTCCTTGAGGACAAAGTCTGTGTCCTTTTAAACTTTGCATATCCATCACCACCTGACAAACAATAGATACTCAAAAATATTTTACATTAAGAAAGAATTTATAGAAAGTTAAGATTTCCTTTCTGTACACATTTCCTGGGGTGGG